ATGCGTTTTTGCTGCCTGTTGCAGCGCTCTAGCGCTGCACGGCAAAAACGCATAAAAAGCTAGAAAAGTGAAACTTCAGGGTAATGTTTCCTACTCATGTATGACCAAAAGGTTTCAAATTCAGCTCCTTAAAACCGATCGGTACTCACGCACGGCATGTGAAAATTTTGATAAAAAGCTCGGGAGCTGGAAAAGCTGAAGGCTTTAATCTTAAGGGAATGTTCCCAACTCATGTGCTACTAGAAGATTTCAAATTTAACTCTTCTAGTGTGGCCATTTTTGCGGACCAGCAACCTTCCATTTGTCGGGTCACTGAAGTCGAAGCCTACAACTAACATACCACATAGCTGCACAATTAACTTCCCGAACTTCGAGGGCCAATATGTCACAGGTTTAGCTAATGTGATTCCTTGCGATCTTGCTACGGCATGAAAAATGCAAAAACGCATAATCGCACTGGCCCGTCTGGTGCGTCCCAGCCTGGGTTTTTATGCGTTTTGTGCTGCAACAGTTGCACAAAACGCACAATGCTGAAGATCTGTCTGTGTGTATGTGCGTGCGTGTGTATTCCGAGTGCATTTTATCCGGAGTTTCAACACGAGAAGCAAAGAAGCTAGGAAGCTGAAATTTTAGTATAATGTTTCTTGCTTACGTGCAACCCCTCAAATTTAAAAGCAGCGCCTTCACATACCCCGGTACCACGTACGGCCCCATTAAAGTTTTGGCAGCGAAAACTATTATCTCGGGACCATGAAAGCAGAGAAGCTGAAATGTTAAGGTAATGTCCCCGTCCTTTACGGCTCAGCAAATTTAAACCAAGCCTTCCCGCGCGTCCGTGTGTTACGTACTGCCCCTTAAAAATTTTTGGCGGAGGGGATAATTGTCTCGAGAAACGCGAAAGTTGGGAGACTGAAATTTTATGACAATGTCCTCTGCCCACATGCATAACGCAAATCCGAACTCAGCTTTCACGCAAACCTATGCCGTATGTATGGCTCTCTGAAAATCTTGGCAGGAAAAATTATTATTTAGGAATCAAGAGGAGCTGAGAGGCTGAAAACTTCAAAAGGATGTTTTCTGCTTCTGCAAGGGTCTAACAAACTCATACTTTGCTCGTAAGCGTGAGACCACGTACGACTATGTGAAAACTTTGGAGCGAAGGTTACTTGAAAGCCAAAGAAAACCAGGAGGTTGAAATTTTGGAACAATGTTTACTGCCCAAGGCTCCAAATTCAGCTTTCACGCACGTTTGCATCTTATGCTGTGATGCGTGAAATTTTTAATGGAAAATTTTGCAGCTCAGGAACCAAAAAACATATCAGTCACTTTTTCACAGACCACAATGTAAAACAGTGTAAATCCTTAGAAGGAGACAAACTTCCGCTTTCAGAACTGCGCAAAATGCATAATCGCATCGGCTATCCTGACCCACGCCGCTAATTATTTGCTGTTTATTAGCTTTCTGTATTTTTACAGGAACAAACTATAATAAGTTCAATATATGCATGTATGTGTGCAAATGTTTATGCATAAATGAATGGACATATGTACATTTACGTATATATTTGTGTGTGTGTGTGTATGTTTGCTCGCATTTGAGCGGCATAACACTTTTTTTGAGAATTATGACAAAAAAAATATTTCAGGCTGATAGTTAAAGCTTTTTAAAAACTCATGCTTCCAGCATTAAAAAACAAGCGTCAGAATTTTCTGCAGGTTGTGCATAAGGTAGTACAGTATTTCGCAGAGCGACTAGATAAGTTATAAGTTGTAGAACGTGATATATAAATTGCAGATGATCGAAGGTATTAAAGTCTTGCGGACTCTTAAAGATCTTTTATTTCTTAAATATCTTAATTCAACAGTAAAAGAGTAGTTTTTTTTCAAAATGATTTGATAATATGATTCCGATTTTAAAAATCTTACCTAATCAACAGCTGTCCTGGCCAGCTAATAGTGGTCTGTGATAACCTGCTAGTTCGCCGTGATTTATTTGTACCGATAGCAAAAAAACTACTATGAAAAAAGAGCCGCCGCCTTCTAAACATTGTCTTCCTGAATTGCAGAATGAGTTTCTGTCAGTTACGTACAAAGCTGAGCCATTCCGCGCTGACAGAATTTTAATCGTTTCCTACATGGGTTCGCTTGATACTCAACACCTTCGCTACATGCTTGTATTTAACAACAAATCATTTTTTAAAGTGCTGGTGTGCGAAAAAAAACAAAAAGAAAACAAAATCGAAATAAACACTGCTCATGTATACGTTGTTTTCTGGATTATAAGAACGTACAGGATCCAACTTCGTAATAGAAATGAGATTTTCACATAGTTCAGAACATCAAATATTTTTCGATTTTTTTTTCCATTCAGAGCTTCATGTCTTGACGGAAATTCCATTTGACTTAAGTGTCTGTAGAAAATTTCCGTTAATTGGTGTCACGACTGAGATCACAATTCTGTTATTCGTAAAAATCCTGAAAATTTAAGTGAAAGCGCTCATTATAAACGGGGCTTACTAGAGCTTTCAAAGAAGCTTTCAAACGGGGCTTATTATAAACGGGCTCATAGCGTGTTCTTTCAAAGACGCATCTGGCAACTTTTCCAGTTACTTTTACCAATACTGCATCGCCTAGTTGTCAGTTTGCTGGCGATTCTGATGTTAGATTTCGTCGTCTTAAAGGAACCAGCTCAGCAGTTCTACGAACAGAAGCGTTTGGCAATCGTTTTAACAACAGTTGGTTAGCAACAGTTTTTAGATATTCTTGATGTTGGAAAGCCCCTTTCACTTTGCACATATCTACTTCCTGAACACGATGAGAGCACACTTTACCAGCTGAGAGGCGGTATGCTCAGAAAAAAAATCCTCGAAGACATCCTGTACAAATAACAACTGTTTTGTCGCCATTGCAAACACTCTTGCTGAAACGACTGCCAGTGGTTCTCATTAGCAAAAACTGCTTTAAAATTAAGACGGCATCCTGATTCCTCAATCATATCCATGCGTGCAAGAAATTATTAACGAAAAAAGAAACTGGTGAACTGATTAATCCAGCCGAAGCTTGAGCCACGAGTCACAATTTCAGACTGGAGTAGCAGATAATGGGTTATCCATTGCTAACGTTTTTCGCTCGAAAAAATATTAGAGTCATAAAGATGAGAGAGCCTTGATTCACAGAAAATGTACCTTAAAACGGGATTCGCGAAATATTGTATGACGATTCGATAGGGAGCAATGCAACAAATATGCATAAGAGACGCATACGGTGCGTTATACTGTATCATAGCTATGGCAAAAACATTGATAATACGCGCACCAAACCCGCATTTGATACTCAACACTGCGATAAACACAGGTATTAAGACAAATATGACTGGTCCGAGCGACTGTAAAATCACAACTGAAGTGATTAAAAGCAGAGCGAGAATAAAATGATGAAGATGATGAAGAGAATACTAACACGGCTACGATGATCGTTTAATGGGTAGAAGAAGCTTACTTACTAGCTTAATAATGAAAGGAGACAGGGATAAGTTGGAAGATAAGACTGAAGGGGGAGGAATGGGAAGGGCTGTAGTCCTCTGCTTAGTAATTCGGACATTTAAGTACTCTGTCTGTGGTTCGGTCTACTGGATACATCACGGGTAAAAAGCGTGTGAGATTTCAAAAGTGAAGAAATACCGTAGTCCAGTGAGCACACTTTAATTCAATAAAACTTCATTTGTCTATGAGCAAAAAATTCACGCGCCACGACCTTCCAATGGTAAAACACGGCGACGCGGTGTCGGTTGGCTCAAATTTCCCAGCGTCTTTGAGCGCACAAATGAGTCGAATTAAGAAGACCAATCCAGCTCTTCAGCACTACTGTATTGAAAGTAGCGACGTATCAGTGCAAAAAATGAACAAAGAAAGCTGGAGAGCATAAGCTGACTGTGAAACTCAGAGAGAACAACAGAGCGAGGAATGCTTGGAGTGTCTCTTCGTGAACATGCAATCGCACTTTCCATCAACTAAGCAACATGTGGGATAATCATTAACACACTGCGAGAAAGTAAAATTTGATGAGCAGGACGCTGTTTTGGCAAGCAGTAAACGATATGCATTTGTGAAAAATACCTACACACAAATATATGGTCACTTGGTCAACATAAGAGACGCCCACGTAGAACGAACAGGATAAAAACATTTCAGTGAAAAATGGTACTGGATCTCTATCTAAATTGTCAGAAAAGTTTTGGTACTCTTGGCAAATCCCTTTCAGATTATGTCGTTTTCAAACAGTTGCAGTAAAATGTTACGTTTGTGAAGGTTATCACGTGGGGGGTTTCGTTGCTATTTGACTCGCTGTGGAAGACCTAGACTTTCCAAAAATGTCTGAGTGGTACCGTGGTGTGAAAGCTGTCTTTTCAAGTACATTACTGAAATAAGTTGGTGACTGCTCATGAGTCTGCTTAAATTTTGTAATTTAGCTGTCAAATATTAAAAAAAATTCTTAAACTTTTCCGCAGAAAAGGTTTTAAGTTCAAGCTGCTTATTTGCTTAGACTTACTTTCTTAGTGAAAATGAAGCATATAATTATGAACAAACCTCGAGTATGATTGTTTTCAAGAGGCGATTCTGAAGCTGCAACCGTTTTAATGAAATATACTGTCTTTTTTCGCTCGTTTTCTTGCTAATTAGCATGGAGCACAGGATGATGGTAGTGTAGGAGACCAGGGCACATACGCCAAATACGCCTAACATATAGAAAATATTTTCGTCCAAATGAATCAAATTACCAAACAGAGCCACGTTCGCATCGCGGTGATAATTCGTATAGTATTCTTCCCATTTTTTCACCTAACATAAAGCAACTGTGACATTAGTGGTAATGATAATGATGATGGTGTTTTTGATAATAATGATATCAAATTTCCTAACCAGCCACCTTATTAACAGTGTGCTATGACTTCCATCTTTCATAAATATTTTGATGCTTAGATCAGCTGTATTCCATCGTCGCGTTTCTTTTCTTTTGCCACATTCTTGCCTTTGCTCCGTTCATTTCTGATTTGATTTAAAACAAAGTAAATTATTTTAGGTCACAAAATTATTAGTCATTTATTAATTTACTTTAAGAACCACCTTAGCTGCGTCACCAGCCTTTGGCATATCACAACGATACATCAGAAATGACACCGCCATTGATATAAGTGCATAAACGAAGAAAATGCTACCCAAAATCTGAAAAATCGACCAAACTTGAATAAATGCAAAGTTATTTGATTTGGCTTAGTGCAGGACCAGTTACTGAAATGATGCTATAAGAACTAAAATCATACTAATTTTTCTTGTAAAATGTAAAAAAAAATTTTGCCGCTTGCTTGAAAATAAAGCAAAAAAAATCTAGCATTTCAAAAATTATTTTGCGTTTTTGCTGTGCAGCTAGCAAAAACGCATATTGTTGAGAAGTCGTCTGTGTGTTGGTGTCTGTGTTCGAAAGCGAGTGGACTATGTCATCCACTTTCAGCTCAGCAACCAGTAAAGATAGAAGGCTGAAATTTTGGAACATATTCCCGCCCCTTGTGTCATCGCCTATTTTAAGATCTTCCCTCTTATTCGCAAAGACCTCGGGTCCTCGAAAGAGGCATACAGATTTCCTTGTCGGGGGACAATTTTGGAAACTATGCAAGAAAGCTGAAACTTTGAAAAAATATTCTGTGTTTTTGTGTGAGCTAAAGGTTTCAAATTCAGCCACTGCGCACGCTTATTTGGCGAGCATGGTCACGTCAAAATTTATGACTGGAACTGTGTTAACTCGAAGATTAGCTGGAAAATATTGGCTGGAATTTTTTCAGAATATTTATCGTCCATATGGGGAATCCTAAAATGAGTTCCGATTTGCACTTGCGCCGTGATTTAGGGCACTTCAAAGATTTGTAGCGAAGCGACTGTTTCACTTACCAAACAATGTTCGAGGCTGAAATTCCGTTGAGATATTTTACTTTCAGGTACAGTCTTAATTCTGCTTGAAAGTGAAATTCCCTGTAAATAGGTATAAAAAGCATAAAACTTTACCACAAGCTCAGAAGCGAGTGCATTTTGTAGCGAACGTCCGCCCTCATCCTTTCCCAATATGCTGTTCATTCACATATTTGGATTTCTTGACGAACGACCGCTCAAGCAACATTTCCACTTTTCAGTGAAGGACTGGAATTAGATGTTGGGAGAAGATGAGGGGGTCATTCGTTGCAAAATGCACCCGCTTCTTAGTGAAAACTGCATAAAAAGCTGAGCAAAAATGGATGCTCGCACCGGCCGGCCAGATGCGTTCCAGCTTGGGTTCTAATTTGTGCTCGAAGTGCATACCTTTTTCTTGGTGAGAAGGCCGGCGAAGCTATTCCTCGTCAGTGTGAAATACCGAAAAATGAACGAAAGTGGTAAGCTGTTCATTGCATAGCAAAAGACTCCAGCGGTTGCGCATGTCAGGACGTGATTATGAGGTGGCTTGATCCAGAACACAATTGGGCCATAGATTATGTACGAGATACCCGAGTCGCCATCCGGCCGATAGATCTGAGTTTTAAAAAATCATTTAAGAACCTTATTTCTCAGACACCTTCCTGCATATCTTCATGACACTTGCCGCTGAATGATGGCCACAAAAAAGTAAACGGCTGCATAGACATACTCTGAAGGCTAATAGAAACGGCTAGCGAACTGCTGTCAGAAGCAGAGAGCGCAAGGGCAGAAGGTGTGGTACATAGGCGTTAGATTTACAACTACATCTCAGAGTCACTGAGAATTTTACATTCCAAGGCTATACAAACCTTTAGCGTATAAATACAAAAAGTATGAACACCGAAGGGCCTGGCTTAGGATCTCAGCAACATAATTAACGTCAGACTATCTTTGTTGAAAGTCTATGCGATTTTGGTATTCTCAGTAAATGTAAAAAAATATATCAGAAATAACAGTGATTAGTTTTAGAAATGTGAAGTTTTAAAAATCACATTTAAAAATTACTTTCAAACTCATAAAATCACAAAAGTCATTTAGGGAGAGAATTAAAATAAAGTCTGCCAACGAAAAAATCTTTAATGGAGGTAGAAAAATTTATTACTTCCAGCAGGCTTGAAACTGGAATCGGCTGGCACAGTGCAAGCATTATTGACAGCAGAATGTAAGCAAACGAAGTATTCCAAAAAAATATCCTGGAAAGACTAATTTTTAAGCATAATTCACAACTTAAGGAGCATTATTTCGACAAACACAGAATTCAGAGCTTTTCGCAAAATTCGACATTTTTAAGGGTAAAAACATTCACAAACGGCTCGGGTGCCTAACAGTTTGTCAGCAACGAACCCTCGTTGGCAAATGTGCCGGTAGTCATCCTTCTAAAAATCTAAAAATCACTTAGAAGCACGGAGGGGACCAATTTGATTTTCTTGTGTTTTTAAGCGCTGTTTTAATGCGTTATTATAGCGCAGCGTTAGAGCGCTACAACAGTCAACACCCAGATTGGAACGCACCGGGCTTGCCGGTGCGATCATTTGATTTTGCACCAGACTTGAAATACTCAGGTCGCTAGCTGCATGGATGATTGTTGCTTTAAACTGTCTTTTGCGATCATCGCAAATTTTGCATAAAGGAAATGAACAATTTCCATTTAACGGTCCCTCTTTGAAAATGATCCAGCTGTTCAGTGGCCAGTTTTTCTACCAAAAATTTTAACTGCCCGTACATGAGAACCATACTTATCTGGGGACTGAATTTAAAATATTTAAGTTGTACTTAGACAGGCAACATCACCCTAAAATTTCAGCTTTCTAACTTTTCTGGTTTCAGAACCGCCAGAGGTCCACGTGCGAACACGTGAAAGTTTTTGCGGAAAATTGCTGATTCGGAAACGGGAAAAGCTAAAAAGTTGAAATTTTAGGGTAGTGTTCCCTAATGACGTACGAGCAAAAGGTTTGGAGTTTAGCTCCTTAAAACTATGTGGATCTCACCCAGGGATGCGTGAAAACTTTGGCAGGAAAATTAACTTAGAAAATAGAAATGCTGGAGAGCTGGAATTTTAAGATAATGTTCTCTACTCATGTGCGATTAAAAGATTTTAAATTCTGTTCTTCTCGCGAGGCCTTTTGTCAGGTCGCTGAAGCTGACGTCTACAACTGACACACCACATAGTTACAGAATTCTTGAACTTCGATGGTCCATATGCCACAAATTCCAACTACTGGAATTCCTTGTGATCTTGCTACAGCACGCAATAGTGCAAAAATGCGTGGTCACACTGGCCCACTCGGTGAGCGTCGCCAATGATTTTGTCAAAACTATGTGCAGAGAGACTGCTATCACTGAGCTGTAGATCTTAATCTGTCATTTATTAAGTAGTTTAAGGCTTCTAATAAAGTGCTTATTGAGGACTTAAAATTATAAAAAAAGCATTAGGAAATTTTACTGTTTGTCAAAAATTCCAAAAAATGGCTATGTCGATAATAAGATGAATGACGCTTCCTTTCTTAGCAATAAAATAAGCAATGCTGACGATTGCACCAACAAAATCAGTGCAACCTTCTGGGTTTTAATTGTCTGGCTTTTTATGTAAGCTGTTATTCTTTTGGGTTACTCAGTTCCACTTTCTGTTTTTTGAAATTTTGGATTGTATGCCTTCATTATTCTAATTAATTTTTTTGAATGTTGCAGAAGAAGAAACATTTTCATACCTAGCATGCGCTGTTTATAAAATGCCTGTAAATCAGCAAAATTTCAAACCTGTATTGATAAAGCTCGATTGGTGAATATTTAACGGATAAAATGACAAGTAGTGACGTAAAAAACAATGTAAATGCGCAAGAAATAAACGCATTAATATTCGAAAATACAACGTAGCTAATATTTGCAAAATTGGACATTTGGTTCCGCAAAAATTTTTTTCAACTATCAAAACTGCTTCGAGCCCGATCCTTGGCGCTTTTGGAATTTCACTTGCGGAACAAACATATCTACACCTGCAACAATGAAACCTTCAGCAGCTGTTTTTATCATTTCACAACTGATACTTTGGAAAACCCAAAATTTCATGTTAAAAATTTGATGCTGTAGCAAGCTATTAGGCTTGTTCGCAACTTAACGGACCGAAACGTTTCTTGTCTAATTTATTACTTCTTCTTTTTACATTTTCCTTTTTTACTCTTTTTTGATCCTTCCTATAATCTATTTCTACGTTTTTCTAACAAAATTTACGCTTTACCTTAAATTGTAATGCTAAGTTTTGAATTTTTTAAGCAGTGCTAGGCGTAGTCACCGATACGAGCTGATAAATGCACGGAATTTTCATCAAAAAAAAAAAGAATTGAGAGGTCCATGAAGCACTATACAGTGGAATCGGAATAATATTTGCCTTTTACTGGCATATAGTATATCGGCGCGACTACAAATCCATTTGACTGAAGAGCTGTTTGATATTTGAATCAACTGGCTAGCACAATGACTGATAATCACTTGAAACCAGTCGCTGAAGTCGATTTCTCGAAAAACGGAGTCTATACATGAAAAATGATAACCGACACATGAGTAAAGGACATTCCATTGATTTAGTTAAATCTAGGATGCGCTTAAACTTCACAACTAATTATGCAGCTCGGCAGGAGCAAAGTTTCAGTAATGGCAATGAATCAGATTTCTGTATCGATTGCTCAAACGTTCTTTGTAGTCTTGGCATAACGAACTTCTGCTAGACAAAGAAGAGCGCAGTTTGTGATGCGTGGTTTTTACGAGTTTTAGGCAGCTATGGAATGCAGAAAATACATACTGGCGAGGGGTTGCGCGAGTGTGTGTGTGTGTGTGCGTCTGTCACGGTTTTTCATCTCAAGACCTACAAAAGCCATGGAGCTGAAACTTTGGGAACTTGATCTACATGCACGTATGGGCCCCAATCCCCAAAATGGACGCCATTACCGCGTGGTACCAGAGTACGGGCCCGCCAAAGTTTTTTACGGGTAAGTTGATAACTCGGGGATCTGGGAAGCTAGAAAGCTGAAATCTTACGGGGGTATTCCCCGTTCACCTAAGTCTCATTGAACTCAAACCAGACTCCGGATGCGCGTGGTACTCACGCACGGGCTCACCAAAGTTTTTCTCGGGTAAGTTGCTAATTTAAGAACCTGAAAAGCCAGAAAACTGCAGTTTTAAGAGGATGTTCCCCGTCCGCGTAAGTCTCAATGAGTTCAAACCCAGACATCGGGTATGCGTGGTACTCATGTACGGGCACTGAAAGTTTTTTCCAGTAAGTTGGTAACTCAGGAGTCAGGAAAATTAAAAAGCTGAAATTTTAAGGAGCTGTTTCCTGACAGTCCTGGCTGCAGTCTTAATTTGTTTAGCTAGGAGCAATGTGCCGAAAAAACCGGTGCCGGTAGCGACAAAAACTGCGGAGAAATATGCAAAAAACGCTTCTTCGCACGGGCAACCCGTGCGCTGGCCAATTATTTTTTTTAAATCACAGTTAAAGACAGAGTGAAGTACCGCAGTGCTTACAAAAGCAAAAGTATGTGAAAGAGAGGCACTGCATAAGTAAGATACAATTTCGTCCATGAAAAAGCTACAAGCAAAAAGTGCGCTGCGGCAGTAAAGAGTGAAATGTTTTTTTTTGCTCAAATGTTCTTTATTTAAGAAAATCTTACATAATGTCACCGAAACGCGATAAAAAGTATTCTTACATTCTCACGTACCTTATTCCCCCATACCTTATTTTCTCAGCCAGATGTTTTTATCTTCGCTGAATCTAATGATATCCAGGCATTTTTTGTTAGGCTTTATTTAGGCTACATCCGCTTCACATTATATTTTTTGTTACTTGTGTAACATCTGTTATTTGTACAACGGCGCTTAAGATTATAAAATTTATTTCCTCAAATAAACAGCTACTAGAGCGATATTAAGGCATTGGCAGCAGTTCAATGGGAACGACTCCCCGAAGCAACGCAGCGCCTCGATTTCAGTGATTAAGACAAGAAATCACTGGAATGCTATGGCCTAGATCCTAGCACTTTCTTTTGTACTGGAGTTTTAACGGCTTGTCATCAAAGCTAGAAAAAAACTTTGGAAACTTGCACCAGTCCTTCAATCCTTACGTGGACTAAGTGGGCGGGGGGGGGGGGG